TTTTAAAAAATGCTTGTAATGGCACACAAAGAACAGTTAAATATGTCAGCTTATCAAAATATTAAGTAGAATGATAAAATGAAGGCAATTGTCAGTTAATTTATACACCTTTGCTGTTTTAGAAAAACTGATAATAAACTAACAAGGGTATATGTTTAGATTAACAGTAAACAGAGGAAGCTTTTACCAAATTACCCCCTCGTGCATAGAATCCATTCATCTATTTCCAATCAGGAGTACATCACACACCAGCATATGATATACACACTGATCAGCCTTAGAAGAACAGCATACGATAAAGAATACAAAAGAGGTTGACAGAATACTACAGCAAAATTTTTTACATTGAACTCTGAAAGGTGGGCGAAAAAATTGGATTGGATTCACATTATTATTATTATTGCCATAGGTTCCGACTGGGCTGGTAGGACTTCAACACTACATCTTCATTACATTCAGTTCTCTTCAGACTTTTCTAGTCTCATTTCCCATTCGTGTCCCGCTCGAGGACTTGGCATATGCTTTCACTCAACGGTCTCCTCAGAGTACGTACAATCCATCTCCTTTATTTCCCTCTGCATATTTGTTGAGAGATAGGGTTGTTGGCTGGTTCGTTTACCATCAGAATCCTTTGTTGTTTATCCTACACAACCAGCCAATTGATCTTCATCATTCAGACAAAGATGACAGCTGTTGATGAAAATCCACAGTAGCTTGTTGGGAAAGCTTTTGTTGATGATGCGCCAAGTCCCTGAACCACAAAGAAGCACTGATTTGGCATTAATGTTAATAATCCAGATGTTGCTCTTTATGATGAGTACTGTAGATTTTCAAACTGATTTCAATGTAATGAAGGTCTGCTTTGCTTCTCTGATCCTGATGGGCTATGACATCCTCGTCTGTAGCATCTATCTGTAGTTGAAACGATACTGTGTAGATAAGCGAAAGAATTAATTTCAGTGAAATTTCTCTTGTTGACGGTGACTGATGCTTGTTGTTGGTGGTGGTGGTGTAACAACAGAAGACAAGGGCCAGGCAACAGATCGTTTATTAAGGGAAATCAACACATATTTATAGATTTTAATGTACATTATTGTAGATTATTGTTAGTAGAAAATACAGTCTTTTCATTGGTTGTTTCTCACAGAAAGTTAACCTTGCATCTCTTTGTGGCTATGTCAGATCATCCATATGCTAACTGTATCCGCCTACGCAAGGCCTTTGTTCTCATTTTCGCACCACGAATATTGGGGACATAAACATTGACGTCAATTACTGTCTACCAACTTTGGCTAGCAGCCAGATCTCACCACAGAGGTACTTAGGTATTTTCACCACGTCTATTACTATTACTATAACAGTAATATTACAAAGTCAGTAAATTTATTTTACCAGATAATACTTAGAGTCGTTAAGCCTAGTTTATAAATCCATTAGGCATATATACAATCATTCTCTGCAAACTATGCTCTTACTCATCATCAAAACAAATTAGTAGTAGTTTCATTTCGGTCCAAACAATTGACATTATCAGGTGCTTTTCGTTGAATACAGTAAGTGTATTTGCATAAGTTATACAGCAAGAGTTTAAGGAAGTAGGGACAATAATAATAAGAATGTCAGACAACATGAAATGTGTAGTGTGAAAAAGACATGAAAACAGAAGATAAACAGTGAATGTATTTAAAATTTAACCGAAGATATATTGAAATAAGTAATCCCAACCAGGAGATATGACCAATAAGCATTATATTATTATTATTGTTCCCTTGGCTTCCTAGTGGAACATAGGGATTCAACAACACATCTCTACTTTCTTCTATTTTCTGCCGTCCTCTTCATCTGGGTCCACGATTACCCAGACTCCCTCATCTCCTCTCCACACGATCTCTTCCGTGTCACCGTCACACTGACGACCCACTCTTCGCTTCCCATTTGGATTCCACTGGAGCGATGGCATAGCTGGCGCGCGATGTCATTCGACAGCCTCCTCAATGTATGCCCGATCCATCTCCATTTTCTTCGACACACTTGTTGAGCAATCGGCTGTTGGTTGGTCTGTTGTCAGAGTTCCCTGCTGCTCATTTCTTCTGGCCAGCCGGCCATTTGATCTCCAGTATAGAGAGAGCGAAGGCAGCTGTTGATTAAAGTCTGCAGTGGCCTGTTGGAAATGCTTTTCGTGATGTGTAGGCCAAGTTTCTGACCCATATAGAAGAAGTGACTGGCTGACTTCACATTTGTATTGAAAATCCGAATCTTGTTCTTTATGCTGAGTGCCAGCAGAAGATTTTCAGACTGGTTTCAGGTTGATGAAGGAGTATCTTGCCTTTCTGATCTATGCTGGTCAGCTTTGACATCTTCATCCGTCCCGACTGCCTGTGGTTGAAACCATGCTTCCTAGATAAGTGAAGGAAGTAACCTCTTTTAAATCTCTCCCGTTAATGTTGATTGGTGCTGGTTGTTGTTGCTGCTGTTGGTGGTGGTTGGTTATCTTCATCACCTCCTTCTCTATGTCCACCTACAGTCCTGTTTTCTCTGCTTCTTCAACCAGTTTGTTGGTTTTTGCCTGTCAGTTTTCGAGTTTGTGTGACATTAGACATATATATCATCTTCCTAATCAATAAGCATACTTAGTTCGAACACAAACAGTTAACCACTTTTTATCAAACACAATGAGATAAGATATGAAAGTTAAATATTACAGCTTGTATGTAGTCCATCACATCTCATTATATCAAAAATATGAATGACTGAAATATTTGTAATATTACAAAAACAACCTCCAACATTTGTATTGATACTCACTGTGATTATTATTATGTCGAACAAATTCTTAGTTATATTAAGCTATACCTCCAACACTTTAGGTATTAATCTGTGACTACAGACTCGTCACTGCAAAACTAGGTTCACTAAGTTGAGTTGTACAGACCCGTTGAAAACTATTGATTTACAGGGATTTAAGAATCCGGAGAGATCAAAATCTGCTGAAATACACTTTTTTTCATTGCCAACTATGTGAAAACAGCTGGTAGTGTTGTTTTATTGTCTGTAGGATAGCAACTTAATCCAATGGTTTCAAGAAAACCTAACTATAACAATCACTATGGTTGATTTTTTAGGACCAACTCACATAAAAAATAACGATTTGAATTTGTATCTAATTTTAACTAAATAAACGAAGAATAATAAAAAAAAACACTAACCTCGAATTAATGGACTGGATACATTATTGATAACTGGACGTGCGGTTAATATTGCTAGGACAGACACAGAAGATGTGGATACTGTCTTGACATTATCACCATCATTATCATCATCATCTTTAGAAATCGATTTTGAAGGAGCCGTTGAAGACACATCGTCATTAGCTACGACAGGTGAAGGAGCCGTTGAAGACACATCGTCATTAGCTACGACAGGTGAAGGAGACAATTCTTTTTTCTCACCAGCTGACATATCGTTTTCATTATTATCATTGCCATGACTATTGAGTTTAGGTGAATCGTCTACTACATTATGTGACACAGTTTCAACTGGTGATAGGTCTGAAAAAAACGTGACAAAATGAAATCAAAATTATTACATTCACTTCGGAATCATTTATAAGGAGATTTAGAAAGATCAGTACAAAACACTTTTTTTAATGCCTTTACGTCCTAAGTGCACCATCGGGTCACAAGCTAGAGCTCTGAAGTTTCGATAACAGTGGTGTTTAATTTTTAAGGGATAGGGTTGCTAGCCTTATGTCCAACCTCCCCACTTTACCAGTCTTATTACTGGCTTAGCGAGGTGAAGGAGTAAGTCGGTCAGTGATTGAACCCTAAACCACCCAGTGCGGTTGGCGAGTATTCTACTGCTGTGTTACCGATGCACACAAAACACAACTATACAATATACGCGTCAAGAAAGCCAAAGAGACAGGCGATATGTCCTTACATAATTCATATCAACACTAAAGATCTACTGAAAGTAGATACACATGCGACCATTATGTAAATAACCAGAACACACTTGGATATGTTGTGCATTTCAATAAAGTTCAGTAGAAAAACATCACCGAAAGTTTTTATTCTTAAACCGATATTTTATACTGATACATCTTACAACCACTACATCATTTGTTTCATATTTTCAAGTATTGGTTTTTGTAGGGTTTTTTTGTTTGATTGATTAGAGGATTTCATTATGAGCTGACATCAGTTAAAGAACCATTGGAAAACCTGAGAGTACCGGACAGCTGTTTTGTCCTGGTTTGAGACTTTTCAGCAGTACGCACCCACCGGGGTTCGAAGCCAGGACCTTCGGGTTACAAGGCGAGCTCAAAGACCATTTGCTTCATATTTGTTTGATCAAAAGCCACAGAAATCAGTACACGCAGCTTAGTTTCAGTGCACATGTCCAACTACTGATCTCCGAGTAATATTACTACTGAATAAAAGAATGTTACTTAACAACCAGTCGCAATTCCATGCAACTGGCGATGAGTCGTGTCTATTGTGTGTAAGTTAGTGATACAACCTCGCCACTTAAACCTTGATAACTGAAACGGGGTTCGTAATCTGTTGTCTTCACTGGTTGGAAGCCGTGCGCCCAGACCACCAATGAACCACTGCTTCACATAACTACTAGTAAAAAGAGTAACTAAAATAGGGGACATAATAAAAGATCAAATTCATAACCATTAAACTGTCATTCGATCTCATAATAGATTACGGATTAGAGAATTAAGCTGAAACATAAATTTATTGTTTGAACAGCAACAAAGCTACCCATCACAATGTGCACACTGAACAATAAATGATGATGAAAATCATCTACACTGATAAAATCGAATAGCACGTCAATGAACGCTACTACTCCTCTGGTTTAAGACTAACATTTCCGAAATATCAACCCAACTGTGAGATTACACCTTTTTTTAAATCAAACTGTAATGTAAATTATAAACAAACAAAAAAATTAGAATTCTATCACAGAGTCACAGGTAATCTCATTACTGGATTTATTTAATTCTGTAGAGATGTCATTCTCCAATGTTTTCTCCACCTCACATTGTGTATCAGTTACTTCTGTATCTTGTATAATTTCCAAGTCATCTTTTGAATCCTTTTTTTAAAAAAAAGAAAGAAAAGAAAATCATCGGTGAATTGTCAGTTGAAGAGCCCATGAAAACAAAAACGCTAAAATTGTAACATTTTTCCTAGTAATACATCGAAAATCTGAAACAGAAACAGGGTGACTAAATTGAGCAAAAATGAAGGTCAGCCAGAGATTTTCAATCGAATGAAAATAAGAATTGGTTACAGGACTTCATCATGAGCTGACAATGGTTAGAGAATCGTTGGAAAACCTGGGAGTACTGAACAGTTGTTTCGTCCTGGTTTGGGACCCTTCAGCAAACCAATACTTGAATATCAATGAGATGCTCACTGGTGATAGGCCCTATTCAGGTAAGTAGTTACCTGGGGTTCCCGTGGGAAGTCGTGACCAGTAGGGTGCAGCAAGTCGGGTGTGAGGACAAATACTTGCCACACATGACATTGGCTAGCGGTTGCGCTATATCGTGAATTGGCGAAAGTTAGAATTCATGGGCCATTGGACCAGGTCCCAGCGGTCTACGAGCTCGCCTTGTAACCAGAAGGTCCTGGGTTCTAACCGTGGTGATGGGTGCGTAGTGATGAAGTCCCGGTAACTAAGACGAAACAGCTGTCCAGCACTCCCTGCAGGTTTTCCAATGGTTCTCTAACCAATGTCAGTTCATGATGAAATCCTGTAACCAATCAACCAAATCCCTACAAACCAATGCTTGAAAAATAAGAATTGTTAAATGAAGTTATTTTTAGATAAATTCTAACAAGAAAGTACAACTGGATTGCCAATCTAATGCTGCTATATTTTTTAGACTTTCTTCGGCGGGGGGGGGTTAAAAGTGACCTATGAGAAAGAACAATGTCTGAAAGGAAAAAGATTGAGAGTACACAACTATGCCAGAAGTTTTAATTACCATTCATAAAGTATATCGCAAAATATTTACATTTCGGAATTTATGAACACCACCGACAAAATGATTGACAAGCACAGTAGCAATATATATATATATATATATATATATATATATAGTACAAATAACTTCAAATTAAATAAGCAAATTTAATGAAGGACTTACAGACTCTTCAGTAGAAACAGGTTCTTTGGTTAACGGAGATAAAACAACTCTAAAAGCATACATTTTTAGAGAAAAAAAAAGAAAATGAGAAGGAGAATATATACATGGTTAGAAAAATGCTTTTCAATCCGTAAAGAAATTACTATCCTATATTCATAATGTGTAATTATTGAAAGTGAAATGAAGATCGGGGTCACAGCGGTCACCCAGCAGCCTCCCAGACTATTCATTTCATTTTATCTTCAGAAATCACGTATTACATACAAATAAATAGTTGTCTGATTAGCCAAAGTTATTGTAGACAGTCTTACAGCCAAAGTACCATCTCTTAATACTTAAATTTAGTAAAGAAGTATCACTGGATTAATTTTCTTATGAACACACTGAAATGTACTTTGATTGGATACTGGCAACTAGTGTGATGTCTCTAGTCCTTTCTTTGTTGCAGACTGAATTCTATGAATCCGATTTTCAATGTGGCCACCATTCTAGGAAGCTCACCATCAAGCTGCACATTGGTTTGATGATATTAGACGGTTGGAGGTAATCGGGAGTCCGAATAGTTCAGTGGTAACGTTTCTGATTACAGCACTGGGTGACGCGGATGCGAATCTCAGAAAGGACATGAGTTCCTTCAAGGTTGCAGATACGCCTTGCTGGCTGACTGGTGAGTGCCAACTAGTACGAAACCCAGGTCTAAGGCTTCCTGCCGATTGCCTCCAAACACATTTAAAATTGAACTGTGTTTGAGATTAGATTCGAAACAGAAACTGCAAGCTATTATTAAAAAAGAAATATTTTTTAAAAAGAAGCATATTTAATATCGATTTTACTTATCAAATAAATATATATATATATATATATATATATATATATATAAGCACAGACATCACGGTGATTCATTTCCTCTGTCTAAGCACAAATTTACTTCTGTTGTATGGATCACATTTACCTGAAATGTGTTAGCTACTGTGTTAAACGAATATTCAACTAATCACATACATGAATGGATGACAAATGAAAACAAACTTGTAGGGAAATTAGTAATGACTGTACGCTGCACGAGGACAAAAAAGTGGACAGGTAATTACCAAGTTCATTTTCTCCTTACAGTTTATTCAGGAAACTATGATTAAAACGATGAAATCGAACACTGACAAAAACACCATAGAAAGAATCGTTAAGTAAACACAACATAACATCAGATGGAAGTCTTCACAGTCAAGACGATAAGTGGAATAAACAAAGAAATAATTAAATAAGAGCATGTACACATGCGCATAATGGGCTATAAAGCCAAAAAAACTCAGGTTTTTCTACACCACTGCACAACACTTCTCGGATTCAAACCTCAGTCTAATTGCTTTTTCTTGAACGACTCGGTAATACTACAAACTCTTAGATACCATAAATTTTTGAGGTAAAGTAAGCTTTAAAAAAACTTTACCAAAGCACATCAAATTCACAAATCCATATAATGGAATGCTTAATTTTCCTTTACATAGACACAATAATTTGGGTTACGTAATTACGCGCCGGTGCACAGTGGTTAGGACGCTCGTCGACAATGCACATGGTACGAGGTTCGATCCCCGGCCGACGCACTCCTTTACCTCGCTAAGCCAGTAATAAAGCTGGTAAAGAGGAAAGGTTGGGCATGAGACTAGCAACCTCATCCCGTAAAAAATAAACACTGCTACAGAAACTTCAAGCCTCTATCTTGAAGCCCTATGTTCCACTGGGAACGTGAAGGAATAAAAAAAATCACGCACTAATTGACGCCTTTTCCTCAGCTGAGAAAATACCATTCTCACTTGGATATGAATACACAACCGAAATTTTATCATCCAGCAGAACTTTTAATGGTGGGGGGAGGGAACAAGAAACTTTTAGTATGCACATAAGTAGAAATTAAAACTGCCTAAAAAAACAATATTCACCAGTATCACTCCAAAATTACTCTACACTCTAAATATAAATCTTACACGGATAAGCGATAAAATATAAAGTTGTTAACTGGTGACTTCAGCCTGACAAACAGTTTTCAACTAAGAAACCAGATTCAATAGGTGAGGGGAGGGAAGAAGTTCGACTACAGAACTAGCTAAATATTATTATACATAATGAATTAGTGGTTCTTTTTTAAGAAAATACACATTTGCAGTGCCTAAAGAACCGGAAAAGAGTGAAAAATGTGAATGCATCCGAAGCAAACAGTTACCACTGTCTACTAACTTAAGAATCAATCAATAGACTCCCTGCAAACAATTTACACACGTGAGAGAAGCAAAACGAGAGTTATAGTTACTGAATTAACTGGTTTACTGCAACAGAAGTTGTGGACAAAGAACTTACACAGTTTACCCTGTCAATGTATTCATAAAATAGAATGAATGAAAACAATTTCTCAAAACAAAAAAAAAATCAATATGAAGAAAACACACTCTATTGATGTCCTGATCAGATGTTTATCGGATATTCAAATGCTGTTGTTTTCTATATTTACATGAGTTCCATTATCTTTTGTTCTTTTATTTCATAAAACAAAAGGATTAACTAAATGTAACACTAAACAGTTAAGATCAAGCATCGACAATTTTATACACATACATACACACACACACACACAAAATAACGAAGAAAGAGTCCGTATCTCAACAGACTGACGCAATAAACAGTGTGCGACACCAACTCATATATATGTATGTACGGATTTGTTGTCCAATGGCTTATATGTTCAACTCCTGACTATAGTTTACTAAGGTATATTTCGCTTCATGCGAAAAGAGGCCTACTATGCTACTAAAGCAATCAAAAATGATGGGCGTTTGCTGATATGGACGATGATTCAGATAACTGCCATTTTTAAGCATAGAAGATAAAAATAGGAGCTCGAAAGTAGCGTAACTTACAAGTAACAGACTAAATACTTTAAAACAATTAGGCTACAAGTAAAAAAGTAGTTATAGGTGGGAATAAACCATATTGGCAGAAGTCACACACAATACACGTCTCAATCACCTTCATATTTAAAAGGGGTGCATCTGTGGTTCAATGTTAGTACCCACCGACCACGAACGTGGTTCGGGTTTGATTCTCGGCCAACGTACTCTTGACCCATCTAGTTTACTAACTGGTAGTGAGCTCGGAAAAGAGCGTTAGGAAACCCACCATGTAAAAATAAACCAGCACTACTGAGACTTCCTACTCAAAATGTAAGGGTATGGATAAGTAATATTTCCCTCAAATGTATACGGATCGCGCTAAGCACTGTATTACAAGTGAAATATATAAGCAACATAACACCTGTTATTTCTACATGACATTTTGAATCGGCATACAATATAGGAGACCTCCCCATCATCAATTTATGAGTTCAGTCACTACGGGTCTGAAATACAAATAAGTGTACATATGGATATTTTTTTATTTTTGTATAGCTTGACTCCACACCACATTTTTGGTAAAAGTATGGAATTTTCTTCATGCATTTATTCCCCTTGATGAATTTGAATAAAGCAAGAACGAAAGTGGTTTGTGCAGTTTGATAACACTCTTTACCGACAAATAGATGGCGTAGCCATGGGCAGTCCACTTAGCCCTGTTCTAGCAGATATCTTCATGTCAAACCTTGAGAAAACAAAGTTGAAGCATGCAATCGATCAAACAACTGCCTATTGTCGATATGTCGATGACACATTTGTAGTATGCAAAAACGACAGTCATGCCTCCTACCTACTCAGCCTATTCAACAAAGCACATACAAATATTGCATTTACCATGGAACATGAAAATGACGGGAAGTTCCATTTCCTTGACATCGCCATGCAACGCCTAGAAGATGGTAATCTCCAGAGGTCAATTTACCGAAAACCTACATGGAATGGACAATACTTACATTTTAATAGCTTTTGTCCAAATAGCTATAAACGAGCACTAGTCAAGACTCTGTACTATAGAGCAAGGAGAATATGCTCTACAGAGAAACTAGAGGAAGAATTTATGTTCCTCGAAAAGGTGCTGAAAAATAACGGTTACTCTCAAAGATTCATAAACAAATATGGAAGATGTGAAGACTCAAATACCAAACAAATCACAGTTGAAAAAAAGCCTGTCTTCATTCAACTAGATTTTAAAGGTGAAAACATTGCAGAAATGGTCAACAGAAGACTGAGAAAGCCACTAGCCAGAGCCTATCCTGCAGCTAAGTTGGTTCCCGTCCATCGAACAACATGCTCTTTGGTGCAGTCAAAAGTCGATAGATACCCTTCTCATGTTAACTCCAACTGTGTATACAAATTTACGTGTATCTGCGGGAGCAGTTACATTGGGAGAACAGAAAGAAGGGCACACCTCCGATTTTCTGAACATGTGCCAAGAAGCCTACGTCTCAAGGGAACAAACTCTTATAGCAGCGCTATCACTAGACATCTTCTCGACACGGGTCATGAGGTAGAAATCGAGAAATCCTTTAAAATTATCAATAGACAAAGGAGTTCCATTCTCCTCAAGTTTGCCGAAGCAATCTCTATCAAACGCTTGAAACCAGATTTATGTGTTCAGAAAGAAGCAGTTATTAATCTCTCTTTGCCCTGGTAACTGAATGTCTTTATTCTCTCATCTGATTACGTAATCTTTGTCTTTAACCTCACCCCCTTTTATATTCTGTAATTTTGCTTGTCTCTTGTTTCTATGATTTGAGTTGAACTCAGTACATTGTTACCTAATTTCTTAGACACTCTGTATCTAACTCATATTTCGTCTTTATTACGTAACTCCTTTGCCATTTTATGCATACATCTATTTTGTTTAAACTTGAACTGCATGTGTAAAAACTATATAAGCGCAATTTTCTGAGCACTGTTCACTTACTGTGGAACTTTTTGTCAACTGGCAACATGTAAAAATTTGCAAGTATGTTAAAACTTTTCTGTACGCAAACCTCATTATGTATTTAGGCTGTAAGCAGCTGATGAGAAGCCTACGAAATAAATGATGGTACAATATTATTCTGCACAAACCACTTTCGTTCTTGCTTTATGGAATTTTCAGCATGTGATATCGGTAGCCCAAATTTTGCAGGCCGACCATTGATATCTGGTGTGCGTTGGCAGGGAATCGGACCCCGGACCATGTGCATGGTCGGTGAGAGTCCTAACCGCTGTGCCACCGACGCACAGTAGCTGGGAAATCTTAGTTGAAGCTCTTCATGATTTCGAAAATGACATAAAATGAATACATTTGAGTTACTGTTTACAATTTTTAGCCATGTTGCTAATTATTCTCTTCTTTATATGTAATATGATTACATTTCTGTTTCCTTATTTCCCGTGTTTCTTTGAAGTGTGGCAACTTGAAGTGATGCACATTAGTAGAAGGTTTTACGTTGATTTGCCAATCTCGTGTGAATTACGTGCACCACTAGGAAGATTTTTGAGGAATATTGGCATGACTGAAATAAATGTGGCGTATATATATGCATATTAGATAAATACTTAAACGTTTACCACAATATAAAAATATTATTTAACTCACT